ATAGGCATTTGGAAAGGGAAAGGGAAAAGGAAAGGGAAATGGAAAATGGTGTGAAATGTAGTAATATTTCACTTACTTTTTCTGTGTCTTATTTTAAATTTGTACCTAAATCTATGAACTAAACACAATATTGAAGAACACAGTTTCCTAATAACAATGCATGAAAAATAATGTTTGAAGCTTACATGAACATGCTTGTTTCCAGGGAAATCTGCATAATCCATATTGTTTTCAATGTTAATTCCTGTACTCTGTGCCTGGTTGATTATCCTAATAAACACCTTCATTCAACAGTTGTTTGGATTTTTGTCAATTCATAAGAAAATTGTTAAGATAGATGATTTCTCCCTTATAAGATGTTCTTCGCTTTATTGAGTTGTTTATTTGGGTCAATTATACGTTTTTACCCTGTAGTTTAACCAAAAGTTAACTTTGGTTCTTATTGTTTCATTTTTAATAATTTGGTCCTACATGTACATCTTAGAATATTGGCAAGTGTCTAATTTTAACCTCTAACTTGAAGAGAATGGCCAAATTGAAATTAGACTTAAAATGTAAGGACCAAATTATTTAATAAAAAAATTAGGAATCTAAGTGAAAATTGAGCCAATTTACAACTATTAAAAGTGTGATTAACCTGATTTATTTTCATTATGTGCTCTTTATTATGGTGATGGTCACAGTTCTAGCTATGTATAGTTAGATTATAGTAATTGTATAGTTTGATATAATTTTTCTTATATTTGTAATTGATCTTCTACCGACTGAAAAAAAAAAAAAAAAAAAGAAAAAAGTAGTAGCTTTTAAATTTGCATCTTAAATTTTTCTTTATACTACTACGTGAATTGGTTGTATTAGTGATTAATTAGACTTTAATTAAAATAGGATGGATGTAATTTTTATTAAAAAAGGTCAATTGATCAAAGGTATAAGTATAAAATAGTACTATGCTATTTTTGAAGGGTGGGGCAAGAGATCTTCTGCTCTAATTTTTTTTTTTGTTTTGTTTTGTTTTGTTTTGTTTATTATCTTTAATGCAAATCCAATCATACAATATGGTGGGAATATTTTCAAAATTATTGTTCTTTGTCCTCAATGCAATTCAATGCGATAAAATTATCAAAATATGAGAATTTTGAGACGACCGTTAGGCTAAGATTAAATTAAAATAGAGAAATAAGAATTTTGTGGATAACATGAAGGCCATCAATTTGGTTAGCCTTCGTTTAGGCAATAATTCTACAATGAGCATATTTGTGTATTATCAAATGTTTACTATCTCCTATGTTATTATTGCATTGGTTTAAAGAGTTTTTCCACTGATATATGTTATAAATGTAATAATAACATATGAAATGTTAAATATTTTATAATACACAAATGTGATTATCGTTATATTATTGTTATTTAAGCAACTTGTACTTTTAGGTCATGTTTGTTTGGGTGGACATGAGTTTGGAATTGGATTAATAGTCCAATAAAATTATTAATCCGATATTTGGTTAAACAATTGAAGTACGGACTAATTTTTTTAAACTTGACTATTAGTTAATATAGGATATATAATCCAACGGATTCGTAATCCTAGGACTATTAGTCATGGGAATGCTAATCCAGTCCGCCCAAACAAACATTTCCTTAGGGTGTGTTTGATTGGGTGGATTAGAGCATGGGATTGAGATTATTAATCCGTGAGCCCAATTATCCTATGTTTGTTTTAACATTTTAGTTTAGGATTATTAATCCAATGGATAATTAATCCAACAAATTTGTAGAATTATTAGTAATGGAGTAGGGGTGGGATTATTAATCCAATGGATATTAATCCAATTAGATAGTGAATACGATACTAATTTAATAGGTTATTAATATTTCACTATTAGTCTTGTGAATCAAACATAACCTTAATCTTAACGGGTAAGGAGTCCAAATCTAAGTCAAGACATAAAACTAGGACGTTTTAAATTGACTTTCGATGATGTCTTGTAATTGATATTTGTGATTTGTTGATAATAATTTTCAATATCCAAGATTTGCTTTGCAGGTAGGTTAAAGGGGGCAAAAAATGCAAATATAAACTAATAATTTTTTTAAGAAAAATGTTTGGTGGTTACAAATTCTGTTACTCAAATGGTCCGAAAATGTCAAAACGACGTCGTTTTGACATTTTTAGAGTTGTTTTGTACCAAAAACGACGTCGTTTTGACATTTTCGGGCCATTTGAATCACAAAACTTGTAGCCACCCATCATTGCCTTTTTTTTAAATTCCTTCTATTAATTAATGGGTCATGTGATAAAGAGATTTTAAAATTTAAAATACGACTCACTTCTATATGGGATAGGTATCACCAGGGAGGATGGACTTAGATTCTAACATAGGCGACAAACATTAACAAACTTAAAAAAAAAGAGTAAACAAACTACAACATCAATTTTTATCAGTATAAAAATTAAAAGATAAAGATTAAAATATATGTAAATAAACGTGTTTTTTTTGTAGTCAATGGTAAAACAATTTATCTATTAAAATTAGACATATTGAGTTGTATTCAACGCTATTTCATCATTGAAAGTGTTTATAAGAGAATTAACATTAAACAAAACAATGTCTTTATTAATAAATATAATAAAGTTATTTGTTCGCTTCCAACTATTTTCTGTTCTCTACTTACAATGGCTTATAATCAACACTGGTTATAAGAAATTTAAATATTTTTTTGGTTATGTTGTGTTCAAAATTTTTTAATCTTATGTTTAATAACTGCTTAATTTTTTTATGAACTTGCTCAATTTAGAAAAAAAAAAAAGAAAGAAGAAGAAGTTAATATTACTATTGTAATTTTTTTTTAAAAAAAAAATCATAAAGGAGTGATTGCACTCTCTTATTGAGGTGAGTATAGATGAATGTGATTTAAATTTGAAATAAACTTCAACCAAAACCAAATCACTATTTAAGCTTTTATAAAATTTAAAATCAAATCAAACTTTAAAAACTATGGAACTAAATCAAATCGAAACATAAAAACACAATTTAGTTATAGTTAAAAATCAACACAGAATTATCTATTGGGAAAATCAAATTTAACATCAAGGGATTGTTTGGGGTGCACTAAAAATGTACATTTATATATCTTTTTAGGGTAAATTACATTTACCTCCCCTGAGGTTTCTAACAAATAGAGGGATCTCTCCTGTGATTTGAATAATTACAGTAACACCCCCTACTTTACCTGACAATGTCAAGATTCCCCCAAAAGTTGACAGCCGTTTAAGCCCTTAACAGACCCTGCTTATGTCATCAAATGTAAACAATAAAATGCCCATAATACCCTCAACCCATCTATATATAGCAAATGCCAGAGTCTCCAGCTTCAGTAAATCCAAGTGAAAAAGAAAAATTTACAAAGGCAACCAAAACTGAAGAACAACAAAAAGAAGAAAGGGCCAAGCACAACACAGGTATGTTCCCAGTCACATTAACTATTTAAAAAAAAAAAAATTTGCATATGAAAATGCATTATAACTATGATCCATTATTGAGAAATGAAGCACAAGCACAACACACATGTTCCCACTCACATTAACTATTTAAAAAAAAAAAATTGCATTTGAAAATGCATTATAACTATGACCCATTATTGAGAAATGAAGCACAAACACAAGTATGTCCCATGAATATATGTCCTGAAAATGCATTATAACTCTCACATTTCATGAATGTAGGTTCACTGGATGGATATATCATCATCAAGTAATGGAGGAGGGGTGATGAAATATAGAAGCAAGATCTGTTACTGTGGGAGCAAAGCAACAATTAAAGTCACTGAATCTGAAAAAAACAGAGGCAAATTGTATTATTTATGCCCAAATGGGAAATGCGGATTCTGGGAGTGGTGCAAACCAGTAAACTCATCTGTTGGAGGAGAAATGATGATGGAAGACACTCAAACAACTGTTAACAGACACACTTTATCCTATGAAGAAGAAAGTCTTGCAATGAATTTAATGAACCAAATGGGGGCTATGCAAACAAGGATGCAAGTACTTGAAGCAAACATGGGGTTTGTAAAAGATGATAATGATCATGAATTTTGTGATGTGTTTGATTTCCCTAATGGTTGCTCTAAAAATGTAATGGTAATAATTCACCTAATGTTTTGTAATGGCCCTTTTGTAATGGCCCTTCTGTAATATTTTGTAATAGACCTTTTGTTTGTAATGCAGTATGTTTTGTAATGGACCATATATAAATATGATGAAGTTATTTCAGCATTATGTAAATATGCACATCTCATTTGACTAACATAATGACCTGTAAACATAAAAACCATTCCATTACATCATCTAAACATCAAGTAAAACCATTCCATAAATATGCACCTGTTTAATTACATCATGATTGTTGTAAAATATGTTCAAGTAGTTTACTTACATCATTCCTATCAGATATGTTCAGTTACATCATCAGTTATAAAATACTTCATGGCCACTACAAAAAAACAAAAATGGCCACATCATCATATTGCTATTCTTAGCATTGCATGTCCACTACAAAAATACAAAAAAGTGGAACATGATCCTAACTAACTATACAGTCAAGCAACGTATATTTTATACCTTCAACCTATGTTAATCCTTGTACCCAAAATATCAACAACTTAGCTAAGTCATCTGCAAAAAAAGTCAAACAAACAAACAAACAAATAAATTGATGTTGTCTGACCTGTGTCACAAACAAACAAATATCAACAACTTAGCTAATTTCATTGTAACTTCATAAGTAAGTTCATAACTAACATGATGTTGTGTGACCTGTGTCACACATTCAGCAGGCATTGGGGGGGTCCCTCTTGGAATATCCTAAATTGAAAACCAAAGTAAGGTAATAAATATGTATATCAATATCATAAATTGATAGAAAACAAATAAAAATCACAAATGAAAAGGCAAAACAAATAGAAAAAACTTACTTTTGCATGGTTGGCCTTGCCCTTGCCTCTCACTTGTGCATGGTTGGCCTTGCCTTGCCTCTCCCACTTGAACTTCCCTTTCCAGCTGAACTTCCTCTTGTAGTTGTATTTCCCCTCCCAGCTGAACTGTCGCTCCCACTTGAATTGCCTCTACCACTTGCATTGCCCCTCTTAGCTGAACTACCTCTCCCACTTGAATTGCCTCTACCTCTACCCCTACTCACAGATCTGTCACTGCCCCTACCAGCAGTTTTGGCACTGCTTATACCACTAGATGTGCCATCAGTTTTGCCACTGCCCCTACCAGCAGCAGATGTTTCACCCCTGACTGGACCTCTTTGGCAAGTTCTCTTATTGTGTCCAAATTGCATGCACCATTTGCATCTCAAGGTACTAGACCTTTTGGTCTGACTTGTTCCAGCTGGTGGCTCATGAGCAGCCCTCTTTCTTGAAGTCCTTGGCCTTCCTGGCAATCTTTTTAGTGGTGGGGGTTGTAAAGGGTCCCCAGGTATAAGTGTCCACATGCTATGGTGTAAGATGGGATGTATCATTCCACCATTGGCTCTCAAGTAAGTTGCCTTAGAATAGTAAGGGTGGACAAAATCTTCTATGTTTAACCTACTGTGAGAAATTGCAGCCACAACATGCTTGCATGGAAGACCAGTTATTTCCCACTGTCTACATACACAAGTCATTGCCCCAATATGGACAATGTGATTAACCCCCTCATTATCCTTCACCTCATACTCATTGCCTCCTGCATACTCCACTGTGCAAGTCCTTGACCATTTCAGTGTAACCTCAAGCTGTTTCTTTACATTCAATGTGACATTAGATTTCCATTGCATTGCCTTTTGGTACCTCATCTGAAACTTACCCATCAACTTGCACCTTATGCCCTCTAACATAGTTAAATTTGGCTGACTTCTCAAATTTCCTAACCAATTGTTGAAGGACTCTATCATGTTATTTGTGATGTGATCACTTCTAATCCTACCATCAAATGCATGCCTAGACCTTTCTTCAACTGGAACCTTCTGCAACCAAATGAAAGCATCATTGTTCAGGTCCTTAATGGCTTGCATAGCTTGATCATACTCCATCTGATTGTAAGCCCTTGTTGCTCTCCAAAATTGTTTCCTCAAAATTAAGCCAGGAAATTTGGCTCTAAAATTGTTATATAGGTGCATGCAACATCTTCTATGAGTTGCCTCTGGTATAATGTCACTCACAATCTTATCAAGGCCCTGCATATAAAAACAATGAAACATTACTAACCATTACAAGTTTAAAATTAGAGAGTCATTTGTAATTATGTAAGTAAAGTAGTTGTTGAATATGTCAGTAAAGTACCTTTTGTTGATCAGACGTGATGGTCCATGGTCTAGAAGGTAGTGCATCTTTTATGATTGTTCTCAAGTTGTGCAAGAAAAAAGACCAACTGTCCTTGCGTTCACCCTCTACTACTGCCAATGCCAATGGAAACAAGCCATTATTTCCATCTAAGGCAACTACTGAAATTAAAACACCACCATAGGGACCCTTCAAGTGACAACCATTTACCCCTATGAATGGCCTACATCCATTAATGAACCCTGCTTTCATTGCATCAAATGATATGAAAATTCTTTGAAACAATGGATATTGAGGAATGGTAGGGTCTGGTTGTTCTCCATATGTCATAATTTATGACAACCAAGCTGTCATGGTTTGTTTTGTTGATTTCCTTACCATATGTTGGCAACAACACATATTGGCTCCCATGATCACCCTCCAGCTCCTCCTTGCACCTCCTTTTGGCTCTATACAGTTGCATTCTTGAAGCCTCAATCCCAAACATTTTATTCAATTTCATTTGCATGGTATCTAAGCCCATGTGTGGATTGTCCTTAAAACTTTCAACCATTTTTTTAGCAATCCAAGCTGATGTAGCTTCAGTGTTTGTGTTCATCCTGCTACATGTGTGAGTAGGTACTAAGGTTTTAATCTTGTAGGTGATCCCATCTGGAAGTGGAGATGCATGAATTCTCCAAGGGCAGCCCTCAGCAGCACAATGGGCTGTTACTCTAGATTTCTCATTTTTGTCTCTTACTATCTTGAAACCAGTTTGTACTGTATAGTCCTTTAATGTAGCCCTGAAAGTATTCACTTCTGGAAAAATCATCCCTTCTTCCAATACAACTTCTCCATCTTGATTCATATATGGCTCTTTCCCATTGTAGGTACCATCATACTTCATGCCTGGAAACCTCATCTCTTCATCATCTAGACAGTCTGCTTCATCATCATAATCATCATCAGTAGTAGAATATGGCACTTCATTATCACCAGATTAGTAATCACTAAGTTCAGCATCATCACTTGAGCACTCATTATCATCATCACTCAAAATCTCATTGCCATTTGATTGGTTTTCATCCTCAGCAGTTGCATTCCAATCCCTATCCTCATCACTAAACCCATAAACATTGTCCTCATGGTACTCTTCATCTACATCTACAGTATGGTAGCCTTGCTCTACATCTACAGCATCTACTCTATGATTTTCATTTCCAATATTACTTTTATGTCCACCATCACTCATTCCAATAGAATATTCTATGTCTACATACAAGTTAATTATTTTACTCATACCTTGCACATAAAACATGTCTAGCACATCAAGATCATTTTCTACTAATCTCCTTGTGTCAGTACCAGGCATATCACAATGCAATGTGATTGCTATTGCTTCACTACAAGAAATGTGAGACAGGACTGTTGCAGTTACATTCTTCAAGGCATCAATGTAGCAATACATATTTGGGTCCACATCAAACACTCTTCCCACTTTTCCTTTGTAGTTGATGATTAAATCAAAATAAGGAAATGCAGCCATACTGTGATCATAATGATGTACCAATTATAAAATAAAATAAGCAAGCCCATACAATGACAAATTGACAAGAAAAATAAGAAAAATGATGTAAAAATTAACTCAGTACTCAACAATTAACTGAAGAAAATATAAAAACATGAAGAAATCCCTAAATTACACTATAATTATACTAATATTAAACAATCATAAGTAAAACCCAACAAATCAGAAATTCATTCTAAACATACATCTCATGAATAATACCCAGAAAATCAGAAATTATAAATTTTTGACAAATTCATTTTTTCCGAATCAGAAATTTTGCAAATCAAATAAAAGCCCTAAATAGACATCTCATAAATAAAATCAAAAAAATCAGAAATTTATATTAAATCCCTACATTACACTATTATTATAGCAATATTCAACAAATTCCTTTTTTCCAGTCAGAAATTTTGCAAATAAAATATAAACTCTAAATATATATTTTCGAAGAAAACCATTTTCACATACATTTCATCAAATCAAACACAGAATACAAACAAATTTGTAAGAAAAAAGATGGAAAAAAAAAATCTAAAATCATCAACACACATTTTAAAACACTATTCGAAGCTTACAGAGTTCGAAATCTTACCTGAAAATCGTAACAGCAACTTCTCACCGATGAAATTCTTTTACATTGTGTACTGCCAACGACGATCAGTTCAAAACCTCAAGCTTTTTCGTCTTCTTCACAATCGACGATCGGTTCACGACGATCGCCTCCCTCTCTCTCTTTTTTCTCTGAACAATTCGATTTGTATTGTGAATGTATTGATTAGGGATTTTGTGAACAAAGAACTTTTCGGTCTTTTTGCAAGCAAAAGCAAGGGTCACATGGTCATTTTCTATTGGATACTAACGTCGTTTGTGCAAAATAGACGGAATGGGGGAATCTTGACATTGTCAGGTAAAGTAGGAGGTGTTACTGTAATTATTCAAACCACAGGGGAGGTCCCTGTATTTGTCAGAAATCTCAGGGGAGGTAAATGTAATTTACCCATCTTTTTATCTTTTTTAGGTCATATAATCTCTTGAATTTTTGGGATTTTTTTTTATACAAAATTAAAAAATACATTTATTTAGATTATTTCAAAATTTGGCTGGAACCTGTTTACAATTTTATACAATTTTTATTTATTTATTTATTTTAAGAGTACACTTGAAGACCTTTCAGACGAATAGGACTAAACAATGTTTCAGATGAAAAGAACTAAACAATGTCTGTACAACATTAGCGTGCACTCGTTGGTCAGACTCCACATGTTTATTTATTTATTTTTATTTTTAGTGATTTTTATTTTTTAAATTAAAAAAAATTAAGTTTCTAGATTTATTAACTTGACGAGACTAACAAAAAATTAAAAAAAAACAAAAACAAAAATTAGGCAAAAATAGTGGACTTTTTCAGCTTATTTTGACTTTTTAATTTTTTTGACTTTTTAAATTTGTTTACATAAGATGGACCGAATTTTATTTTAACATAATTTAAAAAAAGTCATTAAAATAATAATAATAATAATTTTTTCCATTCACAAAAAGTTATAATTTTTTTGTTTCTCACAAAATATATTTTTCTCACAAAAAATAAAACTTTAGTTATACATGACTCTTAAGTGCACATCATAATTTTAAAATTCATAACTTTTATCTCACAAATATATAACTTTCCTCACAAAAAATATAACTTTCGTATAATGTGCAAATGTACATTATAAACTTTCCCTAAAAAATAAGGTTCGTTTATATTTTATGAGATTGATTATGTATCCGTAAACTTATTATCAGTCGTTCTATTAATGACAAGCCCCAAGGATTGTGTCTAAGAATCATAAAATGTCATAATACTTATAATTCTAATACATTTTTTTTTGCATATCTCAAATACTTTTATATATTGTTTATACATTACAAATCTCATTTGTGGTAGCGGCTCAAAAATTTTTGAGGCATCAGAATAATTATCAAAATGAGGTAATATCTAATTATATTTTTGAAAAGTTACCACCTTTGATAATAAGAGCTGGACTTTTTAGCTAAAAGAATAAAAAAAAAAAAAAAAAAATTATTAAAAAAATTCAAAAACAAAAAAATTACTTAAAAGACAAATTTATATACACCAGTCATTCACGTATTTTTATATAACTAAACAAAAAAGTTATTCCATTTGCTAAAACAGTCCAAATAAAAAAGTCATTGAAAAATAACGCCAAACAAGGTCTCAATATATTTTTGGATAAATTATATTGATAGGCAATATATTTTGTCTCTTGTATTATTTTAATTCTTTTAATTTTAATTGACTCGATTTTAATTATGAATTTAAGATTTTATCCCAATTTGGTTCAATTGATTATAATATTTACTATTTTTTGATAAAAATATACAAATAAACAACATATATCATGTTTTTATAACAAAATTGTAAACATATTCAAATTAATGAGTAAATCTCAACCAATTCATAGGTCATTTTTCTTTAAAAATCCTAATCAACGTTATCAATTAGATTAAATTGATACCAAATCTAAAAGGGTAAAATTCATTTTACCTCCTCTTAGTTTAGTTTTGGAGCACTTTATCCTTTTTGTCTTTTAAAAATAGCCAATTATCACTTATACGATTTTAGTTGTTTTGCAATTTACCTCCCTACCGTTACTTATTTCATTTAGATTGACAAAATTTATCATCCACGCATTGAAAGATATAAAGAGGCGTTCTGGAAACATTTTTAAAAAGTCAATTTTTTAGCTTTTTAAGTTTTTTTACACAAAAAAAGTCAAAAAAAAAAGAGTCAGTTTTTAATAAAAAAAAAAAACCAAAAAATCACCCCCAAAATTTTTTTTTTTCAAAAAGTCAAACATTTTATCAATTTCCCAAAACACCACAAAAGGCATTAAAAAAAATCTAACCCTAACTTTGAAAACCCTAATCCTAATTACTCTCACCTACCTCCAGCCACCTCTTTACCTCCACCCATTGCCACCAGTCACCTCCCCTGCAACTCCTTCCTTTTCACCATCCATCTCGCGGCCCCTTTATCTCCTTCGCAGTTTGAGGCACTCATTTTTTTATCCGATCTTGAACCTTGATGTGGGCAATATGTTATAATTTGAATGCCCACAATTTGGAAATATACACAGTGATATATATGTATGTATAATGTATACATAAATAATATTTAAGCACTGTATATAAATATATTTTGTATATATATACAAAATATATTTATATATAATATATGTATGTATATATTTTATTATATTATATTATACATTATAAATTTTTTTTTAATAATGTAACATGAGATTAAATTAGAAATAGAGTGAAGGAGTTAGAAAAATTATGTGATTAAATTAAATTAATTGTATAATAGAAGAGATAGAATGAGAAAATAGAAAGGAAAATGAAACAAAGAAGGAGAAGGATAGTAAGGTCATTTTACATTTTTCGTTGACAGTATTGTATTTTAGTCCAAAATCACGGTGAGGGTAAATGGCTATTTTCAATGATAGGAGTGCAGTGCAAATGGCCTAAATCACATAGAGTTAAGTGGATTTTTCCCCATTTGAAATTAATAATCAAAATCAAGTTAATTAAAATGACAATGACCAAAATAAAGTAAAATATAAAGACTACTTATATAATTTGTCCTTTTTTTTTATTATATATTTTTTAACCCTAACAACAACTTCTATTTGATTTGAAATAATTTAAATAAATATACTTTTTAATTTTTTACAAAAAAAAATTATAAAAATAAATAAATAAATAATATAATCAAAATAAATATACTTATCTAAATAACTACACTTATATTAAACATGCCAATTGCCCTTTGTCATTTTCTTACATTAAATTTCAAAACAAAAAATTGTCAGAAGGAGATAGGCATGCCATTCGGGGTTGGTTCTGGATGTTGTTATTATGCATAAAGACAAATAGAAGCCATGACTTTCAGAAATAATCAAACAGTAACAGAATTGGAATCACTCTCTTTGGTTTTAGTTTTAAAAAATTTATTTTTGAATTTTTTTTATTTTTTGTAATTTTTTTTTGTTTTCAGTGATTTTTTTAATATTTTAAGTAATTTTTAAAATTTTTACACACACCTAACATAAATATACTCAAAAAGTATAATATTTGTAAATTTTTTTATAAAAAAATTCACTAAATACCAAAAATACAAAAAAAAATATGAAATTTAGTATATTTTTCATAGTTTTGGATATTTATCAAAATTTTAAAATATTTTTTATAAATATTTTACTATACAGATAAATCTAAGTAAGGTGCATGTAAAAAAATAAAAAAAATTGCTTAAAATTTTAAAAATATTCATTAAAAACAACAAAAATATGAAAAATAAAAAATTTAATTTTCAAAATATTAAATTCAAAAACCTGAAACAAAATACACTGAATGTTATTTGAACATTCACGAGGAAAATGCCTAGCAAATACGGGTGCATAAAAAAATCGATAGGATTGGTAAAGCGATCTAATTCGATTTAAATAGCCAGTTTGATCTGATTTTTATTAATTTCAATTCTGGTTTTGAAAATGGTGGAGTTGTATAATCCATCGGTTTCCAATTCAAAATTTTCGGTTACGATTTCGAACTACACCTGACAATGTCATATTTCTTTATTATTATTTTTTGGTATTTTTATATGTAAAAATTAAAACATAAAAAATCTCTTATAAGATTTAAACAATAACCTTTATTGTGAAAATAATAAACTCTAACCAATTTAACTAAATTAATTATTGTTAATTTATTTACAAATATAAAAAATATATTATATTTATTATTATATAAAATTTATAGAATCATAAAACCAAATTAAACTGATTTTTATGGTTCGGTTTTAGTCCGACTTCATAGTTTAATAGTTCGGTTACGATTTTAATTTTTATGGAACAATTTCTGTGGTTTGGTTCTTGGTTTACCCTAAATCTGAACCAATCCGATTCATGTACACTCCTACTAGCAAAATTCAGTCGCCTTGTTTGGTTCTAATTTTTTGAATTTAATTTTCTGAAAATTAAGTTTTTTATTTTTCGTGTTTTTATTTTTAGTGATTTTTTTAAAAAATATTTTAAGCAAATTTCTTACTTTTTAGATGCACTTAATCTAGATATACCTAAAAAGTAAAATATTTATAAATAATATTTAACAAAATCAATAAATATACAAGAATACGAAAATGTACTGAATTTATATATATATATATATATATATTTTACATTTTTGATATTTAGTAAATTTTTTTAAAAAAATTTACAAATATTATACTTTTTAATTGTATTTTATACTAAGTGCATTTAAAACGTAAAAAATTTACTTAAAATATTTAAAAAATTTATCAAAATAAAAAAAATAAAAAATAAAAAACTCAAATTTTAGAAATTTTGAACCAAACAATCTGAGTAATAAGAGCACATAATTAAAACAAAGAATAGATAGTAGAGGTAGAATTGTGTAGGGGCTGAGAGCGGCCTTGGTCCCCTTTGATTTTGACAATTTATTTATAATTTTATATTTATGAGTGTTTATAAAATGTGTAATGAGATGATTTTTTAATTTTATAAGAATTATTTTTACAATACCTAATGAAATAATCTCTAATTATTTCACATTTTAAATAATAGCATAAATTTTATCGAGTCGATTTTATTAATACAAGACATACATGCTACTTATTTTTTGAATTATAAAAATCAAATGGTGTGTATACTTTTTTATGAGTAATGCTAGAGAACCTTAAACTTCACTTTTAAATTTATTTACAATGACATGACAGGGGTTAGGTCTTAGTTAATTAATTTATAAACAAATCAATTAATATGTAACCTTCAATGCCATTGAGTATATATTGAAGGGTTATGTTTTAGGGGTCTTAAGTAATTTTTATTTTTTATTTACTAGATTATACCGATCAATAGAATAACTTAAAACAGTGATTTAATCGATTATATATTGCGATCTAAGAGTTCAATATTGAAAAAACTATTTTTTAGATTTATTTAACTTTTTTGTGAAATACTTTTTTCGTAAGAAATTATATTCGATTAGTAATGCATCAAAACTGATTCAGTATTTTTTATGCATATATGCTGGCCCATCCCAAACAAAATTTCTAGTTCTGTCCGTGATATAGAGTGTAGTAATAGCTTGAGATTTATTTTGATGTAAATTTTATTTAGTTTTTAATGTATTTTCCTATGAATCATTCTATGTTCTTAACATATTGGAACATATTTGATAACAGAAATTTTTGGTGCCTCAAATTAAGCCGCCTTGAATGGATTGAATTTGAATTTGTCAGTTGACCGGCTAGACGACCACCTAGACGACTGGGTGAACTACTTGTCTATCGTGGTTGTCACCATGTCGACTGCGACTGTCAATTTTTTTAATGGATGACCGGCCAGATGATTGGGTGGAAGATTGACAAGACGAAATTCGAATCATTCGAGCCTAACTCAAATTCAAGATATGCAACATTACTCATTTGACAAGGGGAGTAGCTTTTCTCCAATTGCTTGTGATTGGATTGGTCCGATTTAGTTTTTTGACACGCAAACGTGGCTGTTACAATGGTCTAATTTGGGAACCTGGTTTCATCATATTTTGTCTCATTATAATATTTTAAAAAGCCATACAAGACAAATATGATAAAGTTATGGAATTAAAATTATCAGATCAATATAATTTTGTCATAAATAATTTCTGCACAAAAGTAAAAAATGAACTAATTAGATTAACTTAGGTCTTGTTTGGGAACTTGACTATATGAGTTAATTTTTTTGACTTTTTGACTATTTTATGAGATGAAACAAAATTGCCTTTGTGATTTTTTTGTAATTAAATAGATGATTGTAAAAAAAAAGGCGATTGATTAATGTATAGGATGTGATATTTTGCCTTATTAACTATTTTAATATTTTTGTTTTTATTGACTATTTTAGTTCCAACTTGCATTTCCAAACAGCATTGGCAATTGGCTTTCTTAGTTGGTTTTTTATTTTTTTAACTATTTTAGTTTGGGACTAAAAATTTGTTTGGTTTGACTTTTTTTACTTTTGTGAGAGAAAAAAAGAAATGATTATGATTTGAATAGAACATTTTGTTTTATTAATTTATCTAACTTATTTTGTCTTTTGTACTTTTTTAACAAAAAAACTAATGCCAAATGAAACCTTAATAAATGTATTATGGCCCCATTTGGCAAGTTGAGTTTTAGCTTTTATTTTGGACTAAAATTTACAAAAAGACAAAATAGGTTAAAATAGTCAATAAAACAAAATATCACATCAAGCCTATAATTATTTTACTTTTTATCTCATAAATATCACATTTAACTATAAAAAAATTCAACCATCTTTTCAAACATTTTAACTTACTAAAATAGTTAAAAATTAAAATAATCTACTAAGCTTTCGTTTGAGATGTGGGTTGACTTTTTGACTATTTTAACATGGGATTACAAAGTCTCGTTTGAAATAAGTTTTTTTGACTTTTTTGACATTTGTGGGAGAAAAAATGAAATGATTATGGTTTGGATAAAATATTTTGTCTTATTGACTTTTTAACCTATTTTGGATTTGTTTGGGAAGTGGGTTGGCTTTTTAGTTTTTTGACTTTTTTAACTATTTTAGCCTGAGGCTAAAAAATCTCATTTGAGAAGGGCTTTTGACTTTTTTGACTTTTTTATGAGAGAAAGAATGTAATGATTATGGATTGGATGTGATATTTTATTTTTTGTGACTAAAAAATCTGTTTTATTTTTTATGACTATTTTAACCAAAAAATCTCAAGATTTGGTTTCCCAAACAAAACATTTATCTTTTTATAACTATTTTAACCCAAACTTTTTATTGGAAACGAAGCCTAGGATAACTTCCAAACGAGGCCATGTACCCAAAACAATAGACTAGACCAACTCACCCACAAATTATACTTTTTAATTTTTTATGGAAAAACGTAAAATATAGTTTAGATTTGAAATGCTGTAATAAAG